TGTGATCTCAGCTCACTATAGCCTCCACCTACTGGGTCAAGCCGCCCGAGTGGCCATAACTACAGGTGCTTGCCACCACGCCCAGGTAACTTTTATATTTTTAGTAGAGATGGAGTTTCACTATATTGGCCAGGCTGGTCTCGAACTCCTGACCTCAGGTGACCCACTTGCCTCAGCCTCTCAAAGTGTTGGGATTACAGGTGTGAGCCACTGCCCTGGCCTGTTCCATTGTTTTTGACAAATGCGTAATGTCATGTGTCCACCATTACAATATCATACAGAATAGTTTCACTTCCTTGAAAATTCCATGTGCTCCACCAATTCATCTCTCCTTCCTTCTCCCAAATCTCTGGCAACCACTCATCTGTTTACTGTCTCTAGAGTTTTGCCTTTTCCAGAATGTCATATAGTTAAACAATACAGTATGTAGCCTTTTCAGACTGACTTCTTTCACCTAGGAATCTGCATTTAAGTTTCTTCCATGTCTTTTTGTGGCCTGATAACTCAGTTCTTTTTCTTTTTAGTGCTAAATAATATTCTATCATATGGAAGGACCATAGTTCATTGATCCACTCACTTACAGAAGGACATCTTGGTTTTGGTAGTTATGAATAAAGTTATATTGCTTCCAGAAACATTCATGTGCAGGTTTTGTGTGAACAAAAGTTTTCAGTTTATTTGGGTAAATACCAAGTAATGCAATTGCTGAATCATATGGGAAGAGTATGTTTAGTTTTGTAAAAAACTGCCTGTCTTCCAAAGTGGCTGTAGCATTTTGCATTCCCACCAGCAATGAATGAGCGTTCCCACTGCTCCACATCCTTGCCAGCATTTGGCAGCCTGTTTTTTTTCTTTCTTAAACAGAGCTACATTACTGTTAATTCGTACTGAGTTTACTGCCCATCAGGATCCCTTAGACATTTTTATATGACTTAGCTGCTGAGTCACATTCTCTTTCTCTCAAACTTGTGCAGTTATTCTTTGGACTTTCCTTAGTGGTCTTTCTTTTCTTTTGTGCCTCTCCAGATGCCCTGGGCTTGGTCTCTTTTACTTATCAGGTGCATTCATAAGCCAACTGCTTATTGACTGTATTACTGTTAAGGACTCACACTTAGATTCTTTCCCCAGGGGATTGCCTTTGGGAGACTGAAGGGTGCCTCTCCCGGAGGTGCCTGGGAATTGACATTCATCTCCTGATCAGATGGTCTGTAGACAATAACTGACTGTTATGGAGGTAGAGGAACTGAGCTCCCTTGCCCCTAGGAGGGACAAATGCTGTTATGGAAGTTATATATTCCAGAGCTCCCTGGGAGATCAGGCAGACACCAGGGTACACCTAAAAACATATTCTAGCTTAGCTTCTTCCCCTTCTCTATCTTCATCTCTCACTTCCTACAGGTTTCTCCTGAGGGCACAACCTTATGCAATTGTAGATTACTTGCACATGAATCCCAAACTCAGGCTCTGTTGCTAGGGAATCTGACCTAATTTTATGACTTCTTTCGATTATAGCACACAACTGTTTCTAATATTTTTGACTGTTATAACCATTCTTTTCAAAAGTACTAATGACCCTACTTCAAATAGGTTATTTTGAATTGCTTATGCATTGTTGCTTGTATTTATTGAATCTCTAAGGGCAACACTTTTTCAGGAAAAGAATTACCTTTTCAATATTATGACAAATGTCAATGGGAAAATCAGATCAAAATGATAAAACTTTATGGCTAAGTAAACATGCATGGAATCGATCCGTTCCATTAGGTGAGGATTACCTCCATTGCATTTACAAATGTCACATCCCTCACTGAGCTGTTGACAGTCGTGCCATTTTAGGAAGACATTCTATTTCAGTCTCATGGTGTCAGTATTTATGTGCAAGAGGTACCTTTTACTCTTTAAAAATTACCATTTGGTTTTGTCTGAATGATGCCTACCCTTTATTTTTATTTTTGGTGCTGGACACCTACTTGGGCAAAAAGCCTGGGTCTTCAATGAAAGGCCCATTTCTGTGTCCCAGTGTTATGTCTTTGGGCACAGCCTTGTATCAAGGGGAAAAGTCTCTGAGAAAGTTGCCAGCAGCACTCCTGGTGGCCCTGGATCCTCACATATGGAAGTTATTGCCTAAAATGCATCACCTGATCAGAATGACAAATCACAAGATGAAAAGTTGTCACTGTGAGGTAGCATGACCCCAAGGCAGCCGCAAGGGGTTGGAGGTAACACACAGGTCTGCAACCACCCAGCTCACTCAAGGAAGACTGAAAAAAATCAATGTCATCAAGACCCGAAGAGAACATGTTTCTAAAAAATTCTCTTGCATTGTGTCTAAATATCAAGTCATCAGATTCAATGTGAAGCCAGCAGTACGGGAAGACATAAAAAACAGTGTAGAGGATGATAGGATTTTGATTTTGATATGTTCAAGAAAATGGTCATAATAATTGGTTGTCTGGAGGATGTGAAGAGTTGTAACACAATTAAAGACAATAAGAAAAAGCACCAACCAAAACAAAAAGGAAAACCAAAATGTGACTGAGAATGTAGCTAGTTCTTTTGGGAGATTTTCTAGTCTTCACATCGATGCTTTAAAAGACTCTCACCCAAAGAATTCTTAGGGTGGGAGATCACTGATAAAACTTTCATCAAACATGCCAGCATGCATGCAGAAGAGTAACAAATCATTAAATTCTTGAGCAAGTGAAGGTATTGCCCAGAAACCCACTGCCAAAGCAGAGAGTGAAAAATAATCAAAAACAATTTTAAACAAAGAAAATTGATATCCTTTTTGAGTGAGATCAGGCATGGAAAATAGGTTTTGTTTCATGGATTACCTCTGACCAAATGATAATTGTTGCCTGGAGCTCTGTTGAGGAAGATTGAGACTAGATCTGGGTTGATTGAAAAAGAATGCTGATATGGATTAGTAATGTCTGTCACAGGTGCAAGAGGGGTAACATGTACTATATTTTTGCCATTTATGTGAGAAATACCATGAGGTGGATAAGCTCAGATTCCATGAAGAGTAGAACTGAACTGGGTGTCAAGAGACCAGATTCAAGTACTGTGTCCTCCATTAGCTAGTAGTTTGATTTTGATCAAATGATTTCAGCCATCTGCACACTGGTTTCCTTTTCAGGCCAATGAAGTTTCTATCCTCGATGGTCTGTCATGACCCTTTAAATTTTAAAATTCTATGATCGATTAATAGTCAAACTCCAAATGCATTATTATGGAGTACTCAGGGATATGTCTTAGTTTGAGTGCTTCCTGAAGAGGACCCTAAGACAGGATTCAAGTGCAACTTATTTGACTAAGAAAGTAAAGGAAATAGGCTGGACGCAGTGGCTCATGCCTGTAATCCCAGCACTTTGGGAGGCGGAGGTGGGTGGATCACTTGAGGTCAGGAGTTTGAGACCAGCCTGGTCAACATGGTGAAACTCTGTCTCTACTAAAAATACAAACATACAGAAATTAGGGCTGGGTGTGGTGACTCACACCTGTAATCCCAGCACTTTGGGAGGCTGAGGAGGGCAGATCATGAGGTCAGGAGTTCAAGACCAGCCTGGCCAACAATTAAAAAGATAATTTTTTGTATCTTTGCAAAGATACAAAAATTAGCCGGGTGTGGTGGCAGGTGCCTGTAATCCCAGCTACTCGGGAGGTTGAGGCAGGAGAATCGCTTGAACCCGGGAGCAGAGGTTGCAGTGAGCCGAAATCGCGCCATTGCACTCCAGCCTGGGTGATAGTGCGAGACTCTTGTTTCAAAAAGAAAAAAAAAATACAGAAATTATCTGGGTGTAGTGGTGCATGCCTGTAATCCCAGTTACTTGGGAGGCTGAGGCAGGAGAATCGCTTGAACCCGGGAGGCGGAGGTTGCAGTGAGCTGAGATCGTGCCACTGCACTCCAGCCTGGGTGACAGTGCAAGACTCTGTTTCAAAAAGAAAAGAAAAGAAAAAAAATACAGAAATTAGCAGGGTGTGGTGGTGCATGCCTGTAATCCCAGTTACTTGGGAGGCTGAGGCAGGAGAATCACTTGAACCTGGGAGGCGGAGGTTGCAGTGAGCCTAGATCACGCCACTGTACTCCAGCCTGGGTGACAGAACAACACTCCGTCTCAGAACAAAAAAAGAAAGAAAGTAAAGGAAACCAATGGGGCACATCATCAAATCAGCTCCCACTTAATCCCACTAGGGAAACTCACAGTGAATCTCTCTGGGAGGCAAGGTTGCTGCTGTATATTTATACCAGCTCCTGTCCACCACTGGATGAGGGCTGGTGGTGGGGAATTGTGGAGGGGGGTTCAATATACCTGCACTTCCTCTCTGCTACACCAGCAAGCCAAATGAGGTCTGTCACTAAAGAAAGTCCCCAGGCAAGAAATACAGTTGGAAATATATCCAGGGTGCATTTAAACAGTAAAGGCTGGGGAATACAGACAGGGTTGGCTATGCTAGGATTCTTAGGGGGATAAGTAAAAAAGCTCACTGGCATTTGGGATATTAAATACAATTGATGTTCAAACATTATAATAATAAACTATCTGCTTTTAAATCCCAGAGCCGAGTTATGAGTTTAGAGAATTCTGTGAAATGTAATAGTTATTTTCCGTACGAACACCTATAAGGAAAGTTTATTTATTTATTTTTCATTTTTTTGAGACAGGTCCTCACTTTATTACCCAGGCTGGAATGCAGTGGTGCCATAATGGCTTACCGCCACCTTGATCTCCTAGGCTCAAGCAATCCTCCTATCTCAGCCTCCTGAGTAGTGGGGACTACAGGCACATGCCACTGAGCCTGGCTAATTTTTTAAATTTATTTTTTGTAGAGATAGGGTCTCAATATGTTGCCCAGGCTGTTCTTGAACTCCTGGGCTCAAGTGATTCTCCCACCTAGTCTTCCAAAGTGCTGGGATTACAGACCTGAGCCACTGCACCTGGCCTAAGGGAAGTCTTGAAATTGGCATTGCTGGTAATGCTTTACTGTTTTCTCCACAGTCCAGAGACGAGTTCAGCAAGAAAGATTGCCTTTCAATCAGGAATGTTGTAGCTTCAATCCAAACCAAAGAAGGTCTGAATCTCAAGTTGATAAGTGGAGATGTTCTATATATCTGGGTAGGTGATGCCATTTAATAAATCTACCAAGGAACAATGGGATCTAATTAACTTGTTCTGTGACTTGTTCCATGATTTAACTTGTTCTTTGTCTTAATCAAAGATTAAAGATATCAAAGATAAATTTGAGAAGTTAAACCCACTTAAAGTTTATGCAGAAATACACTTACCATCCCCTATATTCTTCCACATGTACTCATGTGGAGGGGTTCAAGTTTAACCACAAACAAGAGTTTGCAGATCCATCTCTTATTTCTCTGTAACTGATCTTGACTTACTCTCAACCCAGTTCTATTTTTCTCTCCTGCGCCAGTCAGCATTATTGAGGAAGATATGTGTACACCACAGTATAGAATCACCCTTCACAAAGACACCTTTGCTTCTGCCTGAGCACTTTGCAGAAGCATGGGAAGAACGAGGAGGGATAAAGGTTACCAGAAGAGGTGCTAAATCCTCACCCTGGCTGCTGCCTATCCCTCCTCTCCTACTGCTTCCTCTTCCTTGGAATCACCAATTAACAGAAGATTCAGGCCCTATAATCCTCCTATAGTTGACATCCATCATGCTCAATCCTGGCTGCAGATCATAATCATCTGGGGGACATTTTAAAAATACAGACTCCCAGGCCTCACCCCTAGAGATCCTGACTTTAATTGGTCAGGGATGTGGTGTAGGTGACAATAGTTTTTGAAAGCATTCCAAGTGATTATCTTATGCAGCTAGGGCTGAGAATCACTGGTCCAGATGCTTCTTAGAATTCTATAGCCCCACCATTTGGACACCTGATGTTTACCTTCAGATGGCAGACATGCAGGACTAACAGAAAGAGAACTCTGCTGAGAAACTGGGAGACTCTTCTGGATTAGGAGCCACTGGAAATATTCTTTGCATTTACTGTAGTTAATGGGATGGCAGAGGGGAGGCAACCAGCTGCTTTCTTCATGTTCTCTAGAGTTTTTAGAGTCCTCTGTCACGTGGGTTCAGGACTTTGTCCTCAAATCAGCACGTTTAGAAGTTGCATCTTATCATTTTACACAGAATTGATCTGACTCGCACTAATCAAACTCAAGAGACTTACTTATAAAACTGGAATTGTAATTATTTTGTTTGCAATGAGAAAGATAATTGCCATGGCTACTGGTAATAGTGAGCTGTGCAACTGAGTATTATGAGAGTGATTGGTGAGTAATATGACCAGAAGAACTGGATGATATAAAAGTACAGTAAATTTATTTTTCACTCTAGGCGTAGGCATAGTGTGGTGAGTAAGTAGACGAACTCTAAAGTCCGTTCTGGCAGGGTTCAAATACTGCTCCACCACTCAACAGCCACTGATTTTGGTCAATATCCATCTTATGTCTCAGAGTTCTTATCTATAAATATGGATGATGATAATATGAAGGTTGTTATGAGGCTTAAAATGAAATAACTCATATAAAGCACTTATCCCCTGCCTTGCACGTAGAAAGGACTCAAAAAAATGATAGCTATTATCATTATCCCCTTATGATGGTCCACTTTATACTTTACCTTACTCAATTAGTACTACAACCTAATTAAGATATATATGACTTGCCCACATTTTATAGATAAAGAAACCAAGGTCTTTTCACTATGCAGTCCACCGAGTTGATTATAAATTTCATGTCAACTCATATTGGGATTTACCATTCTTACCATTGGGTGGTGCTGTATAAACTTTGGAATTCACTTTTATCTTTCGTCTCTGAATTCTTTCTCCTATCCAGTTAGTTTCCAAACCCTAATAAGCCCTCTTTCAAAATATCTCATGTACATGCCTTTCCTTTTCATTGCTATTGTCTACAATACACATTTCAGTACACACCATTCCCAACCCCCAATCACGCCTCAGTACTACCCTGACCTCCTTGTCACTCTTTAATCTGTCCTCCACATTGCTGTTTGATATATATTCCAAAAACATGATTTTAGCAGGTACTTCTCTGCACATACATCTTTGGTGTCTTCCTTCTACCTATAGGGCAAAGTCCAAAAAAGTGTGACTTTCCAAGTATTCCATCGTCTGGCCCTAAATCTCTTCCCAGCCCCTCTTCTCACTATTGAACGTCTGCTTCAGCTAAATTTGAACTACTTTCTGATCTTTCACAATCCTATGCTTTCTTTTTTTCTTTTTCTTTTCTTTTCTTTTCTTTTCTTTTTTTTTTGAGACTGAGTCTCGCTCTGTCGCCCAGGCTGGAGTACAGTGGTGTGATCTCGGCTCACTAAAACCTCCGCCTCCTGGGTTCAAGTGATTCTCCTGCCTCAGCCTCCCAAGCAGCTGGGATTACAGGCACCCACCACCACGCCCAGCTAATTTGTGTATTTTTAGTGGAAGGTTTTGCCATGTTGGCCAGACTGGTCTCGAACTCCTGACTTCATGTGATCTGCCTGCCTTGGCCTCCCAAAGTGCCGGGATGACAGGTGTGAGCCACCACACCTGGTCACAATCCTATTCCACACACCTTGAATGCCTTGCTGCCTTCTTTCTACCTGACCCAGTTACAGCCATTCTTCAAGGCCTATCTCAAATTCTTATCCCCTTTAAAAGGTCTTCACTCACTATTCCAATCTAAATATTTTCCTATCTTTTTTGAAATTCTATACCAACTAATATTTGTATATTTAACTATGTCTTTTGATTATTTTGAATTGATTTAAACGTTATGACAAGGTTACTTTTTCCATTGTTCGTTTTTTCCAGATAGAGTCTGGCCTTGTCACCTAGGCTGGAGTGCAGTGGCGCAGTCACGGTTCACTGCAGTCTCAATGTCCTAGGCTCAAGCAATCCTCCCACCTCAGTTTTCCAAGTAGCTGGGAATACAGGCCACTAGCTAATTTTCCTCTTTTTTTAATTGTAGAGACAAGGTCTCACTGTGTTGCTCAGGCTGGTCTTGACCTCCTGGGTTCAAGCAATCCTCCTGCCTCGTCCTCCCAAAATGCTGGGATTACAGGCGTCAACCACTATGCCTGGCCTATTTTTTTTACATGTTAATTTATTGCTTCCCCAAACTGTGTAGGAATCAGTAAACAGAGAGTGAAACTGCAAGTGGGAGTGAGGAGAACATGGGCTAGATCAATTTTGTTTCGTTTTGTTTTGTTTCTTGGATGGCTTGCTCATTCTTGTCTCTGCAGGGGGCTTCTCGGATCTTGACATTGGTTTATGCTAACTTCATATAATAGCTCATATGCTAACTAACATTATATAAGTGGACCCAAGAAAGCTAATTATTAAGTTGAGAAATATAACCTATTATATGTCTCAGAGACATAGACATCTTTTAATTTACCATGAAGAAGAGTCCCCAAAGAACGAGGACAACCAAAATCCACATGATCAGGCTGGGCTCACTCCAGTAATCCCAACGCTTTGGGAGGCCAAGGTGGGCAGGTCACTTGAGGTCAGGAGTTCAAGACCAGCCTGGCCAACATGGCGAAACCCCATCTCTACTAATAATACAAATATCAGCCAGGCATGCTGGCACATGCCTGTAATTCCCGCTACTTGGGAGGCTGAGGCACGAGAATTGCTTGAACCTGGGAGGTAGAGGCTGCAGTGAGCCAAGATCATGCCACTGCACTCCAGCCTGGGGAACAGATCGAAACTGTGTCTCAAAAAAGTAAATAAATAAACAAATAAAAATTAAAATAAAAAAAAAGCCACATCATGAGGGTGTTTGTCTCCTCCTACTCCCAAATTACCAGGGAATCAGAAGGTTTCTGGTGAACACAAAATCTGACTAATAGGAGTTACGGGCTGAATATGTAACATCTCATGGCATTAGGCTATGACCCTCATTTCACCAAATGAACAGCCTTAGCATTGACATTGGAGAACTCGATATCCCTGGACAGGCTAGAATGGATACTGCCTACCCTCACCTTAGTGATTTTCCTTTGCCAAGGCCTTCAGGGTCGACCATACCCTCCTTCACATCGACCTAGTCTTTCTTTTGGTATATTGTTAAATTCAAAATAAATATTCTCAGTTCCTGCCAGCCTAAGAGCAATTCTTTCTCCCTTCCCGTCTCTCTGTCTCAATCTTTCTGGGTTTTTGTTTCTCTCTGTCTCTGTCTCTGTTTTTCACTTTCACTTTTCTTCTTTCTCCATTTCTCTCTCTCAGTCTTTGACTCTCTGCCTCTGGTCTCTGACTCATTTTCATAGCTCTACTCTGACTCATTATGTTTGATTTCACAGCAGTGGTAAATATATTTCCTTAATGTCTAAGTTTTAGAAATGACCTCATCATGGTGTTTCAGTGCTAACAATAGACTGTAAGCTCCTCGAGGGTGGGGATGACATGTTAGTATGACAGGCAAAACATATCCGTACATTAGCCCATAATACTCAGTAAATTTACAGGTGCTCAGTCATTATGTATTATTGACTCAATCTCTTAACTGTTGCTATTTTCGTTAAGGCTGATGTCATTGTCAACACTGTTCCCATGAATCTTCAGCTTGGAGGAGGACCACTATCTCGGGCATTTTTGCAGAAAGCTGGTCCCATGCTCCAGAAAGAGTTAGATGACAGCAGGCGGGAAACAGAGGAAAAAGTGGGTAACGTATTCATGACAAGTGGCTGCAATCTGGACTGCAAAGCTGTGCTCCATGCCGTGGCTCCAGATTGGAATAATGGAGCGGGGACTTCTTGGCAGGTAGGGAACGCTCTTAATTCTCCACCTCACTTGGTAGCTTTGGGAATCTTCTTCTGGTGTGGTGTAGATCTGTGCTGAAGGGAGGCAATTTTGCCCTACAGAGGACAGTTGGGTTGTTACAACTGCTACTGGCATCTAGTGAGTAGAAGCGAGGGATGCTGCCAAATATCCTATGATGCACACACCAGTCCCCACAACAATGAAGTGTCTGCCCTAGGCTGTGAAACCCTGTACTGATTGAACCCTGTCTGTCTATTGCAATCTTTATTACATTCCATGGAGAATCCATCACAACTACCAGTTATTTCTGAGTAATTGACCCTTGGAAGTAGCAACAGTCACTGGGATTCTACAGGAGGGGTGTCTAAGATGTAATGTAATAATCTTTCAGTATAGCAAAGAGGTGTGCCCAGCACTGCGGTGAAGAATAAAAGAGTCAGTGCCCTTTCGATAACATCATTCCCACCTCCACTCCCACTTTAATTTCCCAACTTTTTTTCAGAATATAAAAAAGTAATACAATTACATTGTGGAAAATATAGAAAAGTACAAAAAGACGATAAAAATAATAATCCAACCATCAAGAGATAACTGTTTTCTTCTTCTTTTTGAGACAGAGTTTTGCTCTGTCACCCAGGCTGGAGTGCAGTGGCGCCATCTCAGCTCATTGCAACTTCCGCTCTGCCTCCTGGGTTCAAGTGATTCTCCTGCTTCAGCCTCCTGAGTAGCTGGGATTACAGGCACCCACCACCAGGCCTAGCTAATTTTTGTATTTTTAGTAGAGACGGGGTTTCACCATGTTAGCCAGGCTGGTCTCAAACTCCTGACCTCAAGTGATCCACCCGCCTCGACCTCCCAAAGTGCCAGGATTACAGGCATGAGCTTCTACTGTGCCTGGCCTTAAGAGGTAACTTTAGTTAACATTTTACTATATTTCCTTCAAGTCAACTTTATGACTTCATGCATATTTATTTATTTATTTTTTGAGATGGAGTTTTGCTCTTGTTGCCCAGGCTGGAGTGCAATGGCACGATCTTGGTTCACTGCAGCCTCTGCCTCCCGGGTTCTTGCAATTCTCCTGCCTCAGCCTCCCAAGTAGCTAGGATTACAGGCATGCGCCCCTACACCTGGCTAATTTTGTATTTGTAGTAGAGATGGGGTTTCTCCATGTTGGTCAGGCTGGTCTTGAACTCCTGACCTCAGGTGATCTGCCTGCTTCATCCTCCCAAAGTGTTGGGATTACAGGCGTGAGCCACTGCAACTGGACAGCATATTTATTTCTTAGTTGAGATTCTCTCTCTCTCTCTTTTTTTGTTTTTTAATTGAAACAGGGTCTCACTCTGTCGCCCAGGCTGGAGTGCAGTGGCGCAATCTTACCTCACTGCAACCTCTGCCTCCTGGGCTCAGGTGATCCTCCTACCTCAGCCTCCCCAGTAGCTGGTACAACAGGCACACATCACCATCCCTGGCTAATTTTTGTGTTTTTGTAAAGATGGGGTTTCACCATGTTGCCCAGGCTGGTCTTGAACTCAAGGGCTCAAGCTATCTGCCCACCACAGCCCCCCAAAGTGTTGGGATTATAGGTGTGAACCACCGTGTTAGGCCCAATATTATCTTTTTTTTCTTCTTCTTCTTTTGGCCCAATATTCTCTTTAAACATTTTTAAATACCGTTTTTTGTTTTTGTTTTTGAGACGGAGTCTTGCTCTGTCACCCAGGCTGGAGCTGGAGTACAGTGGCATGATCTTGGCTCACTGCCAGCTCTGCCTGCCAGGTTCACGCCATTCTCCTGCCTCAGCCTCCCAAGTAACTGGGACTACAGGCACATGCCACCAAGCCTGGCTAATTTTGTTTTTGTATTTTTAGTAGAGATGGGGTTTCACCATGTTAGCGAGGATGGTCTCGATCTCCTGACCTCGTGATCTGCCTGCCTCAGCCTCCCAAAGTGCTGGGAGTCACTGCGCCCGCCACCGCACCTGGCCAATACAGTTTTTGTTTTTTGTTTTTTTTTTTTAAAAAAACTTAACATAAATACTGCATGTTGTTAAAGATTCTTCATAAACACCACTTTTAGTTGCATTGAGGTACCATTTTTATGCAGCCATTCCCACACTGTGGACCCGCCTCTCCTGAATGAGTGTGACTCTCTCTGGAAAGTACTCTGCCCTGTTTTTGTTTCCTCTTTCTGACTTCTCAGGCCCTGATTAAGCCAACAATAGCAGAGAGGTCCTTGTCAGAGTTACTGGGACCACAACTCTTTGTTTTCCACCAACTTAAGCCCTAACTTATGTAAATGTACTTTGCACATTTCAGATCATGGCAAATATAGTCAAGAAATGTTTGACAACTGTAGAAGTGCTATCTTTCTCATCAATCACATTTCCCATGATTGGAACAGGAAATTTGCGGTTTCCCAAAGCTGTTTTTGCTAAACTAATCCTTTCAGAAGTGTTCGAATACAGTAGCAGCGCAAGGCCGATAACTAAACCTTTACAAGAAGTCCACTTTCTGGTATATACAAATGACAATGAAGGCCGTCAGGTATGTTTACATATCCTATCTGCTTAATTCTGGCAAGTGAACCCAAGAGCATTCAGATGTTTTTATAGATCTAGGAATAACTGTGTTTTCTACTCCTGTGCCCATAAGTGATAGTTGCTAATGGGAGGTTGCCATATGACTTAACTATGAGCCAACACTGATAACTCATGTTCCTAGACAGTTCATCAACAGACAAGCTAATCGATAATAAATACATTCTTAGAAAGAAGTGGAAAGTTATTGGCATAAAAACGGCCTTGACATTTTAACACTGACTATATGAAAGCTAAGTCATGGCTTTATCTATGGGGAAAGGGCAGAATAAGAGAAGCCTCAAAGATTTAGTTATTTGGATAGAATAGACCAGTCTATACAAGTCTGTGAGTGTCTACGAACTAGAAATAGCAGCACCATATTCAGCAGTGGAGAAGCAGTCAAAGCACACTAAGTAGTTCCCACTGACATTAGAAGAATGGTATACCTAGGTTTAATCTCAGTTTTGCCATTTAAAAGTTGGGTGACATACCTCTCTGAATCTCAGCTTTTTTTTTTTTTTTTTCCAGACAGAGCCTTGCTCTGTTACCCAGGCTGGAGTGCAGTGGCACCATCTCGGCTCACTGCAGCCTCCGCCTCCTGGACTCAAGCAATCCTCCCATCTCAGCCTCCCTCGTAGCTGGGATTACAGGCATGTGCTACCACGCTTGGCTAATTTTTGTATTATTAGTAGAGACGGAGTTTCTCCATGTTGGCCAGGCTGGTCCTGACCTCAGGTGATCCACCCACCTTGGCCTCCTGAAGTGCTGGGATTACAGGCGTGAGCCACCGCGCCCAGCCTGAATCTCAGTTTTATCAAGTGTAAGATGAGTGTGATAATAACACCTTTTGGAGTTGTTCTAACTATTAAAAGGGGTGTATTTGAAGTGTTTTGCATGATATCTAGCACATAGAAAACCCCCAAAACTGGTTGTAGTCATTACCTGACTTTAAGGACTGACAGGAAATTGCTACAACTTACTAACATCACCACTTAAACAGGATCAAAGATAATTTTGTTTTTTAAGTTCTTAGTTATTCTTACCCATTCTGGATGGAAGTGTGGTCTTTCCAGAGATGTTTCCCAAAATTCCCCAGAAACACTCCAAAGTATTGCATGATGTAGTTTGTAAGTAAATTTATCCATCGGAAATAATAATAACAGTTTAAAAAATAACATTTAGCCCCAAAGGTTCTTAGTTTTCTTTCCCCCAGTAAATATAAAATATCCAGAGACATATTTTCTTGCTCAAAGATAAACTGGGGTAAATTATTATTAGCAAAATATTCATGATATATGTGTCCTTGTTGAGTTCATAATAACATCTGCCCTTTACTGGGGTGACATCTCCAGTAGCAATCTGGAAAGTAACTGCCCCAAATTTCATTGTTAACCAAGAATTAGAAACATGGACTAGTACAGGCTCACGCCTGTAGTCCCGTCCCAGCACTTTGGGAGGCTGAGGCAGGGGGATTGCTTGAGCCCAGGAGTTCAAAACCAGCCTGGGCAACATGGCAAAACCTCATCTCTGCCAAAAATACAAAACATTAGCCAGGCATGGTGGTGCACATCTGTAGTCCTAGCTACTTGGGAGGCTGAGGTGGGAGGATCAGTTGAGTCCAGGGAGTTGAGGCTGCAGTGAGCCAAGATCATGCCACTGTAGTCCAGCCTGGGCAACAGAATGAGACCCTGTCCAAAAAGAAAAAGAAAAGAGAAAGAAAGAAAGAAAGAGAGAGAGAGACAGAGAGAGAGAAAGAAAAAGAAAAGAAAGAAAGAAAGAAAAGAGAAAGAAAGAGAAAAAAAGTAGAAAGAGTCCCAAAGATACCTGAAAAGAAAGAAAATGGATGAATACAACCCCAGTGAAACTTTATAACTCTACTCTGTCACCCATTGCTCAGTTTTATCACTCACACGACCCAAATGCCTTTTTGTTTTTTCATTTCTAAACAAAACTTCAATGTCTGAGGTTTTCTACTGTGAATTTTCATGTTTTCATTCAGGAGGCTTTGGCTGGACATAAGAGATGAAGCACACTGTATGTGTTTGTTGTTAATCACCCCCAGAATGTACCTAACAGCCAGAGATGCCAAGGAACGTTGTTGCCCTGACCCCGCTCACCTACAAATGCTCTGCACTGCCCTCAGCACATTGGATGTAGGAGATTAGAATTATGGAGTTTCAAAAGAGGAGGGATAACTGATAGTGGTCACAAAAAAGGCATGTGACTTCCTGCAGAGCCAGAGTCAGCACCCCTGCTGACATACTTGCCTGGACAGTGTTAGATTACTCCCAGGGTAAAGTAAATCAGCACTGCTATTTGCTGAGAAAATTCCTAGGTTGAGCTGCAGTCCGTTAAGAAGTCTCTGAAGGAAGAGGAAATCTTTTGAGAACTATTGTCATCAACTCTTTGATATTGGATGATCAATGCTCCAAAGAATTGGATTAATATTTTTACACAACATTGTTGTGGTCAGTAACTATTTCTATTTCCAGGCATTTTTAGATGAATTCACTAAATGGTCAAGAATAAATCCCGACAAGGCCAAGATTCTCACAGCTGGAGATACCCAAGGTCTGGTAAAGTCATTCTGCTAAGGAAATATTTCCTTTTGCTGAGCAACTCTTCAGTGGTAGTTGAAGTCCAATAGAAGGAGGCAAAGCTAATTCACATGAAGAACAAATCTGTGATAGAGGAGGTGTTACAGCATGTCCCATTGTCTGGGCACACAAAGAAGCAATCGCATATTAACATGAACCAAATCAATGGTAATGAAACCAGTTTCTAAGAAATGGTAATAAAAAATAACGAAACTGTGCCTGGCACACTATACTTTACTGATTCCTGTCTTATATAGTATATTATTTAACATGTACAATGGCCCCATGGCAGGTGGTTCTGTTGCCACTCTATAAATGTCAAAAGGTAGATCTAAACGGTTTAAGGGATGAGCTGAAGTGGCATATCTAAGTTGTAAGCCTCAGAGTGTGGAGTGGAGAGTAATATGTCAACAGGTTAAACACAACTTCCTCTGAGCAGTCTTTTTTTTTTTTTTTTTTTTTTTTTGAGATGGAGTCTTGCTCTGTCACCCAGGATGGAGTGCAGTGGCGCGATCTCTGCTCACTACAACCTCTGCCTCCTCGGTTCAAGCCATCCTCTTGCTTCAGTCTCCCGAGTAGCTGGGATGACAGGTGTGCACCACCACACCCAGTTAATTTTTCTGTATTTTTAATAGACACACAGTTTCACCACATTGGCCAGGCTGGTCTCGAACTCCTGACCTCAAGTGATCCTCCCACCTCAACCTCCCAAAGTGCTGGGATTTCAGAGTAACCTTTATATTGCTACACCTGTGGTAATAAAAGACCCTCCTAGGAGTGTTGTCTGCAAGAAAGGACAGTGCCCTTTTCACACTGCCTTTTTTTCCTCACTCCTCTCTCTTGACACCACAGCAGCTCTTGCCAGTAGACAGACTGGCACAATCAGATATTTCTGCCTCATCCTATGTAACTCAGAAAATGTAGATATGCTTACTGTCACAAAGCATTATTTTCTAATTTCCTTTAAAAAGAAATCCTAGCTGTTTAAGAGGCCAGGAGATACGGTAATATTTGGGTTTATGTTGGCGGAAAAGAAAGAGGGCCGGGCTGGGAAGAGAATAGGGCCCCAAGATGAGTGCTCTTCCTCCGGAAGCTGAGCCAGCCCATTCTTTACCTATTTCCTTTCTTTTCAGGTGTGGTTGGGACTGTCTCTAAGCCTTATTTCACAGCATATGAAATGAAAATTGGTGCAATTACTTTTCAGGTTGCTACTGGAGATATAACCACTGAACAGGTAGATGTTATTGTAAACTCAACAACAAGGACATTTAATCTGAAATCAGGTACTTTATTTAAGCAATACATTGTAATTATTAGTATGACTAATTTCTGGAAGGGAAATTGTGGCTAATATTTGCCCTGAGTAGACAGAGAGTGTTGTAGAAAATATGTAGTCCCTGAACTCAGGAAGATGTGGGTTGAATCCCAGCTACGTCACTTACCAATGTATAGCTGTGGACAAGTCACTTAACCTCTCTGAGTGTCAGTTTCTTTGCCTGTCAAATGCCTATTTCCCAGGAGAGGATGAGATGGGGTGTCAACTGATATAAAGGTGGAGTGTAACTGACGCATGGTACTTAGTGTCAGCTCTGGACTGTTGAATTTCCACATGTATAGTTTAGTACCTCTAAGTTCCTCTATTTTTATTTTCCTTTTTATGCAACCCAGTTGGCATTCACGACTCACCTCCCATAGTTCTTCTGTTCTCTACATTACACTGACCCAGAAATGAAACGCAAACCTTTTTCTTTATTTTCCCTGAAATGTCTGACCACTCCCATCATAGTAACACATTCAGGCATGCCCTCCCCTCATATGTCTATTAATTTATAACGTATACACATACACTCTTAACCTTTTTGGGTTTTTTGAGGTGGAGTCTGATTCTGTCGCCTAGGCTGGAATGAAGTGGTGTGATCTTGGCTCACTGCCACCTCTGCCTCCCGAGTTCAAGTGATTCTCATGCCTTAGCCTCCTGAGTAGCTGGGACTACAGGCATGCGCCACCACCTAATTTTTGTTGTTGTTGTTGTTAGAGATGGGGTTTCACTATGTTGGCCAGGCTGGTCTCGAACTCCTGACCTCAGGTGATCTGCCTGCCTTGGCCTCCCAAAGTGCTGGGATTACAGGCATGAGCCACCGTACCTAGCCCTCTTAAATTTTTGTATATTATAAAACGTTGACTTTTAAGTTAAAAGGGTAAGATAAAACATAAATAGAAATAGAATTTAAATATTTTCCAAGTTGAAAAATATTATGGAACTTACCATGCAGAAGTGAATCTGTAGAATATCCATTTAATTCATTGGTCATTCCATTTTTCAGTCATTTAAAATGTAGACATAAATAACATTTGGTTATTTGAAACACGCTAAATTGAACCTATGCATTTATCCCCATCCCCTTTTGGATTCCATTAATACAACTGTAAAGGAATGAAAAGGATATAAACACACAAGAAAAAAGAACATTGGAAGGAAAACAACTATGAACAGAAGATAACAAATTTTTAGATGATGGGGAGCTGCTAGCCAAGAGTGGTAACTGCCATGGAGTAGAGAAAATTTAGTACCTGCAGGAGAGAAGAGTAGCCCCAGAGATACAGGAATTGGAGGCTGCTGGTATCTGGGAAGGCAGGGGGCAAGTACAGAGATAAAAACAAGGTTGAATGAAATTCAAGATCAGTAGCAATTAGACTACTTGATTGGATCCCCCATCCTATACAGCAGTAACTTTCCTTGCTCTTCCCTGGCCAGAGATGGGAGGTTTATTCTCTAGAGAAACAGAACCAGAGGGATTTTGGACTTAGGGCACCAGGCATAGGTGAGATGAGGAGCTAGACTGAAAACTGTTTAAGAGAACATCTGTGTACCAAACATTGAGTGCCCAGCCCCTCTCCCTGCGTGGATCCCAGAGCAGCAGACAGCAGGTGCTGCCTGCTTGCCTTACACTGAAGCCCACTGGTCAACACGCCTTCTTGAGTAGAACTTCTAAGCTCACTCTTAAATAGGAATGGACTGGCGAAAATCACTTGACATTTGAAAAAAGTCTTCACAGCAAAGACAGAGACCAGAACAAACAAGTTGAAAAAAGATTTTTTTAAAAAGACACATTTTATAACACACACACATAATCAAGGATATATAGATATCTTCATAATGATAAAACAACTAACATTCATTCAATATTTTCTGCACGCCAGGTTCTGTGCTAAGCATTTTTCATCCATTACCTCTTTTAATGTACAAATAACCCTGTGAGGGAAGTGCCATATTAGCCTCTGTGTAACAGATGAGGAACTTATTAGTCACATACAAGCTAGTAAATCCTGGAGTCAACTTCAACCCAATTTGTCAAAATGTAAAGTCCATGTTTTTAACCACTGAACCCAGCTGTCATTAGACTTGACCAAAGTGGTGAAGCTACAACCTTGACTGGAAGATTCACTGGACTGAAACCATCTGTCTAACTGAATGGGGCAGGGAATCAAATAACTCAGTAAAGTGCTTGATTTTATTACAGTTTTGAGATCCATGCTTCTCATTAGTATCAGAACTTTTATTTTTATATTTTCATTCATTTTTACAAAATAATAAGGGTAGAATGCAAAAAATTTCAAATAACTGCAAAAAGAGTCCTGTATAAATAGAGAAGGTAAAGTTGCAGATGCCAGTCTTTCAGATCCTGGGCACTTCCATGGCACTGAGATCAGACTGTTCATCAGCCACTGGATGGAGGTTGCTATAGAAACAGCAGTTGGTTGGGCATGGGGGTGGTCAGTGGATTATGCACAAAAGGGTGAGTTGAGCAGAAGTCTAATGTACAAAAGCTATAACCACTTATTGGATTCTAACTGATGCCTTTTACCATTAACATGTCTTATTTAGGTGTGTCAAAAGCTATTTTAGAAGGTGCTGGACAAGCTGTGGAAAATGAATGTGCTGTACTAGGTATGGGCACATGTTACTTTTGACTACAAACTTGAAAATCAGAGGGCTGAGATTACAATGAGAGGATGTACAGGAGGACTGGGGGTGGAGTAAGTAGCGAGCAAAACTTTGAAAGAAGGTTGGTTCACTGGAAGAGCAGGCACAGGTGGTGGGACTTGGAGGCTATGGGGGAGAGGTTCTTTATCCCACCATCTCATCTGTCTCTTACTTCCTGAGTAGTAAAAAGAACCCAGGCCTGGGTCCTAATAATCCAGGCTCTGCCATTTACTGAGCGATCCTAGGCACGTCATCTAACTACTAAGAGCTTTGCTTCTCTCATCAGTAGGAAAGTTCTACTGATAAGTAGTGTGGGAAAGCTGTGCCACAGGTGGTTTTGAGGATCAGAAGGAACAATTAATGTGAAAAGTTCTGTAAACTGTAAAGTGCTGTACAAACTTTCCCCAACCTTGTTCTACTTCTTCCAACACAACTGCATATAACCAACTTCTAATCCTTTTATGAATAAGTGTGGACTTTGAGTGGGGAACCTAAGGTAGTGATTATAAACTATTTGTCCTTTAAAATACCCCTTGCAGAGTAGGGTAGACAGTCAGCTGTGAATGTGCTTTCAAGAAGTCATAGTGCACCATGTTTGACAATGTATTCCCGCAACTGACCTGCTACAGTGCCTGAAACTCCTATCTTAGTAGCTCTCCTCTGATTAAGAAATTTCTCTGGAGTGAATAAAGCTCTGGAGTGAGAGCAGAGGAAGATAATATTTGATCACTAACATGAGGAGTTAGCAGGAGTTGGAGCACTGGGAGAGCTCGCTGTGCCTGGGAGGCAGGAGCAGAGGATGAAGGTGGGCTGCACAACCTGGAAAAGCCTGACGAGGCTGCCTGGGAGGGAGGTGAGAAGGACGCCCGAGGGGCCCTAGGGAGTGCCTGGGCATGGGTGCTCCTCAGGAGGGCAGGATGGGATGGGCAGGGATCCACTCTTCTCCTCCTTCCTTTTGCCGGCCCCAGCCTTACTCAGAGCAGTCTGAACCAAAGAAGCAATGCCTTAAAATGGCCCTGGTCATTTCCTTGTGCTCAAGAGCTCTAGAGTCCTGAGCGAAGGAGAAGTTTTCATCCTTTTACACCTCCGTGCCACAGAGTTCATTGCTTTTACCTCCTTCAAAAATTAACGTGGCTGAATGAGCCACGTTATTTTTTGCTCTTCTGGGACAGCAGAGTGGGGGTTTAGAGCTCTGGAGACTGGCTGCTTGGGTTCAAGTCCCAGGCAATCTTTGGCTACTGACCTTACCTCTCTCTGTGGCTGTTTCATGTGTGAATGGGAAAACAGTACCTGCTTCACTGGCTTGTTTTGAGGATTGAGCAGATTAATGCAGATAAAGTGCTTTTGAACAGCACCCCAAATACTCAACAGTGTATTTGTTGAGCTCGAGAATTCTGATTGTAAAGAAAATGTGGCTGTCACAGTCCAGTGAATGAAACCAACAGGCTCGAGGGAGGCTGGGTTTCACAGCCTTCACTGATGTCAGCTATGTTCATTTCTCAAAAACCAAAGTGTTGCCTCCAGTAACTAATGGGCTGCATGTTTGTTTTTCTTCCCTTTTTTTCAGCTGCACAGCTACACGGAGATTTTATAATTACACAAGGTGGACGCTTAAAGTGCAAAATAATAATTCATGTTGTTGGGGAAAATGATGTCAGGAAAACAGTCACCAGTGTTCTAGAAGAGTGTGAACAGAGGAAGTACACATCAGTTTCCCTTCCAGCCATCGGAACAGGTTTGCAGCTTATCACTCTATAATAAAATTTGAATGATACAAATTCCTTTAGATTTAGTCTCACTCTTAAGCAGATCAATGCTGAGTCCATCTGAAGGTGGCAACAATGATGTAAATCAGAGAGGGGGCCATCTTTTAGATCCGGAGGGCGCCACCAGCTACTGGGCCCAAGCCTCTTTCCTCCATCTTTCTTCTTTCTTTCTTTATTTTTTCAAGACAGAGTCTCACTCTGTTGCCCAGGCTGGAGTGCAGTGGCATGATCTCAGCTCACTGCAACCTCCTCCTCCCAGGCTCATGCAATCCTCCCACTTCAGCCTCCCAAGTAGCTAGGACCACAGGTGTGCACCACCACACCTGGCAAATATTTGTATTTTTTTATAGAGACAGGGTTTCCCCATGTTGCCCAGGCTGGTCTCAAACTCCTAGGCTCAAGCAATCCGCCTGCCTCAGCCTCCCTAAGTGCTGAGATTACAGGCATGGGCCGCTGAGCCCACCCCTTTCTTGTTTATGTTCCCTAAGTATCTTTCCAAGTTTGGTCCTTAACTTCATAGTTTTCTCACTCTTCATTTTTTCCCCTTGGGGGATTCATTTGCTCTCATATCTGGTAACATTTCTGCACTGACTCTCAAATCAGCATTTCTCATTCTCTCCAGGATCCTCTGGGGAAGTTTTCTGTTACTAGAAACTTCATTACATCAGAATCCAAACTCATGATCCTCCCTTGAAAACAGACACTCCTCTTGAGCTCTCAGGCTTTTTCGTTTCCTTCTTCAGTGGTGCCATGATGCTCCCAGCTACCCTGGCCTGCCATCCTTGCTTTGTTGTGTCCCCAGACCCCCAGAGTCAGCAAGTCCTGCTGAATCTTCTTCCAGAGAGTTATTGAGTTCCAGCCTTTCTTTTCGTTTCCAAACCCTTCAGACCTCCCCCATCTGGTTTACTTCAATGTCTCCCAGTCGGCTCCTCATTCATGCGTTCGTTGAATTGAAATGCCGTTACCCAGGCTCTGTGCAAGGCACTGGGGAGAAAATCATGAGTAAGATGCAGTCACTCCCCATGAGCAACAAGCTCAGGTTTGTCCTGCTCACAGTGTCTAGGAATGCTTTCCTCATCTCTATCGTATCATTCAGTCATTTGCTCTTCTTAGTTGACAGTGCTACTGGTCACTCACTTCCTGATTCATTCACATCCATGTCCCCTGTCACTCTCATGCAAATGAGGGCTTCTTCCTTGGGAAGTATTAATAGTATGTAGCCACAGATTACCATTAATCTAAGAGAGTTTTTCAGCAATTAAATTTTTGATCTTAGAGCCACCACCATCATTTTAGCTCAACTCTGTAGACTTCCTTCTTCCCAGATTAAAACAGAATGCTCCTGCAGGTATCCCAGGCCCCTCTCGTATAACCCCCAGGACACCCTCCAAAGTTTGCAGTACATTCTTCCTGGCTTCCCCACTGCCCTTATTAACACCTATAACCTCTAGTTATAACCTTTTGTTATCAGTGGTAATGAGGGCAATAGGGAAGCCAGGGGGAACGTGCTGCAAGCATTTTGTTACCACTTTTTGTTCCTTTTGTTCATTCATTTCTCCCCATCTGGAGCCTCTCCCACACCATCTGGCTAATTACAGCTCTCACAAACCCAAATTGTTTTGTTGCCATCACCCAGGGCAAGCACTCTGCTACTTGGCACTGGGCAAACAGAATGGAGTAAGCTCTGGCCCCTCCAGGAGTTCGTGATTTTGGAACAGATGCAGGACATAGTAACCGAGAATGATACCCAATGCAGAGATCACATGGTGTGATCGGCCACATAATGGGAAGGTTTGCAACTAGGCAGGTGGAATGAACCTGTCAAGGGACTGCATACAGAAAGAGAAGAGGGCTGAAACCAGAACAGTGGAAAATGCCCACAGGTAGATTGTGGTGGGGAAAGGGCAGAAAAATCAGCAAAAGAACCAACCAGTAATCCTAAGTGTTGGAGGAGGGTAAGTGCAAAACCCCAGAGGAGGAAGTGGGAGGCCATGAAATGCTTGTGCCAGGCCTCTTCGACTGTGAATACATTGTGAGATCCTCAAAAGGGAAGGACCAGATCTTTATCTCTTCTCTGCCCTGTGTTGAGTGAAGAATCATTGCCCTTTAAATTTTGTTGAATGGCGGAATGAATAACAGGTGATTTTGATGATGCCTCCAGACGTGCTCATGGATTTTCTCTTCCCCATTGATTTCAACGAACATTTTTGAAATGTTTCTCAGGCCTGGTGCAGGGGCTCACACCTGTAATCCTAGCACTTTGGGAGGCTGAGGAGGGTGGATCACTTGATTGCTTGAGGTCAGGAGTTCGAGACCAGCCTGGCCAACATGGTGAAACCCTGTCTCTACTAAAAGTAGAAAAATTAGCCAGGCGTGGTGGCAGGCAACTGTAGTCCCAGCTACTCAGGAGGCTGAGGCAGGAGAATTGCTTGAACTAGGAAGCAGAGGTTGCAGTGAGCTGAAATTGCACCACTGCACTCCAGCATGGGTAACAAAGTGAGACTCCATCTCAAAAACAAAAAGATGGACAGAAAAAAGAAATGTTTGCCAGGCGCAATCTATTTTGAGTACCACTAAACTCCCATGAAGTAGCTGGAATAGCTACATTAATTTTAGTAGTAATATTAATAATTGCTAAGATTTATTGAGTCCTTACTACATGTTCTAGGTGTTTTATATGTCAAAGCTCATGTATTCGTTACAGTAACCTTATATAGGGTGATCAATTCTTTTGAGTTTTCCCAGGACTTTCCTGGTTTTAACACTGAAAGTCCCATGTTGCAGGCAGCCTCTCTGCTCTGGGGAAACTGGGAGGGTTGGTCTTGGTACCTATGACATGGAAACTATTAGCAAAGACAAGTTTATTGTGAAGATAATGAAGCTTAAGTTATTGGACTTCACTTGCACAGGATTTTTAACAGACCCTGAGAGAAGCCCTAATAATGTCTTCACCTGGTTATATGACTTAGTAAAATTTAAAAAGTAGGATATTTTAACCATCATGAATTAAGACCACTATTTCTCCCCACTTTGACGTCTCATACTTCCCCTTGCACTGGGTGATGTTGGGGTGGCTATAAACATTTACACGATATAGCTAAGGAAAGTTGCCTTAGGAATACAATTTTCAGCATTTTAAAAGATATACTTTGTTGTGATTTCTTTTCTGATTCTAAATATTCACTGTTATACATAATTACATACTTATTCTTTTTCTGAGATATATAAATTTCAAAACCTGGATCCATCCTAAACTCTGTGTCCCCATTTTGTAGATGAGGAACTTGAGGTAGGTTCAACCTAGCAACAGAGCTAGGTTCAAAGCCATGCCGCCTGGTCCCAAATCCTGCACAATTTTTACCATTACATTTTTTTTGTTTTGTTTTTTGTTTGCTTGCTTGTTCGCTTTTTACTATTACATGGTTTTTTTTTTTTTTTACCATTATATTCTTACCTACTGTATTCTTAGCTACCATATTCTTATCTCTGTTACCTATTACCTTCTATTATTACCCCCAATTTCTAGCTGAGCAAACTGAAGTATACAGATGCTATAGGTTGAGTGTGTCTCTCCAAAATTCATATGTTGAAGTCCTAACCCTGGTACCTCAGATTTAGAGGTAGGGTTTTTTTTGTTTGTTTTTTGTTTTTTATTTGTTTGTTTATTGTTGTTTTTTGAGACAGAGTCTCGCTCTGTCACCCAGGCTGGAGTTCAGGGGCACTATCTTGGCTCACTGCAACCTCCACCTCCCCAGTTCAAGTGATTCTCCTACCTCAGCCTCCTGAGTATCTGGGATTACAGGTGCCCGCCACCATGCCCAGCTAATTTTTGTATTTTTAGTAGCGACAGAATTTCACCATATTGGCAAGTCCGGTCTCGAATTCCTGACCTGAATTGATCTACTGGCCTTGGCCTCCCAAAGTGCTGGGATTACAGGCGTGAGCACCTAGTCTGGAGATAGGGTCTTTAAAGAGCTAATTAAGTTAAAATGAGGCCATTAAGGTGGACCCTAAACCAATATGACTAATGTCCTTATAAGAAGAGGACATTAGGATACTGCCAGGTATGGAAGGAAGAACATGTGAAGACACAGAGAAAAGACAGCCATCTACAGGTCAACCTTGCTGATACCTTGGCCTCAGTCTTCTAGCCTCCAGGATTATGAGAACATCAGTTTCTGTTGCTTAAGCCACCAGTCCATGGCTTTTTATACCGCAGCCCTAGCTAACTTCAAGAGGGATCAAATGACTTACTGAAGATCAGACAGCTAGTAAGTAGTGGAGCCAGGACATAAACTCAGCTCTTCTGCATCCAGATCACATGTTCTTATTTCTGCACTGCCAATGCCCATCAGCAAAAGATCACCAGGAACACACACTATGGGGAGCTCTGCAGCATCTCAGTAGGAGAGTGTTAGAAAACGTAATGGATTTGGGCTTGTTTTAGGTGATTTTGTGGCAGTCTCAAGTAAGTGGGGCTTTTCTCTGGATCAGAGACTTTGAGGAAACAGACATAATTCTATGATTGTCTTATCTAGAAGGAAGGAGGATGCACTCTGGCTAAATGTATGATTGGTAATGCAGCAGCTGTCACTCTTTTTTTATTTTTATTTTTGAGACGGAGTCTTGTTCTGTCGCCCAGGCTGGAATGCAGTGGCACAATCTTGGCTCACTGCAAGCTCCGCCTCCCGGGTTTACACCATTCTCCTGCCTCAGCCTCCCCAGTAGTTGGGACTACAGGCGCCCGCCACCACACCTGGCTAATTTTTTGTATTTTTAGTAGAGACGGGGTTTCACCATGTTAGCCAGGATGGTTTCAATCTCCTGACCTTGTGATCCGCCCACCTCAGCCTCCCAAAGTGCTGGGATTACAGATGTGAGCCACCACGGCTGGCCTAGCAGCTGTCACTCTTATTAGTCAAGATGGGAGATGTTTGGCCATCTCTGTGATTTGGACAGGGTTCATGTTTTTGTCTATGATAAGACATAATTATGGAGTAGTCTTGTTTTTGTGTTAATTCATCATGGTCAGAGTGGTTACATGGATGATATACTATGAAATTGTTTGTATTCAGCTAAAGAACATCAACTAGCTGTGAGTGTCAGATCAGTTCCTGGCTGTCAGGGGTTTTCCTGTTTCTCAGCACTGAGAACTGCATGTGCCAAATTTCATCATATTACCAACATCAGCTGAAATTTCTTCTTTGTCATTAAATTTTTTTCAGGAAATGCCGGAAAAAATCCAACCACAGTTGCTGATAACATAATCGATGCTATTGTAGACTTCTCATTGCAGCGTTCCACCCCATCATTAAAAACCATTAAAGTTGTCATCTTTCAACCTAAGCTGCTAAATGTATTCTACGACAGCATGAAAAGAGACCTCTCCGCATCACCGAACTTTCAATCCACATTCTCCATGACTACATGTAAGATGTTTACTTTTTAAAAATCACCTAGCTGGCTCTGATAATCACTTAGAAAATGTTTAGGTGTGAATGTACACTGAGTTTATAGTTTTCTATTTGTTTTAGGACTTTTCAGATAAGTTTTTATGACCCATGGGAAAAGTACAAAAATTAGAGAACACAACCTCCTGTCAACTGATTATTTTCCTGAGAGACAAAATCATGCCTGGGAAATAGGAATGGCAAATAAACAGGAAGAGAATGGAAGTGAGGAAGCAGAAAGAGGGAGGAAGCTTTGCAAATTCTAGCCAATGGTCTAGCCAATATTCATTGATTGGTTGGTATTGACCCTCATTGCCTCTTGGAGCTGTGAACTAGCTGATTAATATTGGTCTGCTAATCATCCACCTATAGACATGTTAGCCTGGAATAAAATCAGATGTAAGAAGGGAGTGGCTAGGGTCAGCTGGTTGTACTACATCACAAGCAGCCAGACAGTTCCCAGATACCCAGTTGCTACTCTGTAAGGTGTGTTTATACTTTAAGTATTTGTACCAACCTCTTCCTCTGATTTCGTTTTCCCCTATTTTGTGGCATTTGTACTGCTATTAAAATAACTAGGACTGCAGCCTCCTCTTGAAATCACTATTTTCACCCATTTGGAGCACTCACCCTTAAAGCGCTGTGGGTTTTGCTAGTGATAAGGCACATGTGCCATCAGCAGCCTCCCTAAACTGAGAATTATTATCTGCTGCTGTCAGGAGGAATGTCAGTTCTCTCTACATTTATTTCCTGACAAGTATTCTCCTCAGCATGCTACAACACACAATACATGTAGGACACACACAATAAAAACATGAAAATAATAGTTGGATCTGTAAAGGTTCTTGCAGTAGCAAATAACAGAAAATCCAACTTACACTGGCTTAAGCAAAAAGCAGAATTCAATAACTCATGTTATTATAAAACCCACACCTTCCTGGCTTCAGGTACAGTTTGGTCCAGGTGCTCATATAATAATATCATCTAGACCCTGAATTTCTTCATCTCTCATTCTCTTCTCAGCTGTGTTGTCTTTTTCCTTGGGCTTCAAATGGTGAAAGATGGCTGCTAGCAGCTTTAGGTCCACATCCTTTCACAGTCAGTTTCAAGAGGAAAGAGTATATCCAGTGGAGATATACACTTATCCAGGAACATGATGCCAGGGAACAGAGGTCTTTTAAGCGCTGAGAGTCTTTCTGATTGGACCATTTTAGGTTATCGTTGCAGGCAGGGAACCAGAATTACACTGATTGGCCAAACCAGAGTCATACTCCACACTTCAGCTAGACGGGGTCACCATTCGAAGCAATGGGGGAATAGCTGTTCCCCAGAGGAAATTCAGAAAGCTTTTACCAGAAGATGAGAAAAGGATACTGGGCATTTAAAAATAGTATGTACCTACTACAGTATCTAGGGATATATAAACTAACACTTCTTCCCTTTGGTCCTTGTAGATGAAAATTTTTATTTAAATTTAAGAACAGTAAATAAGTCATTATCAGTAAAGTAAAAGATAAAGTTTAACTGGTTCATCACTCTTTGCTTTCATCAAGATTTTAAACAGACTTACAAATTTAAAAAACAAAACAGTGAAGTTGAAGAGAGAAGCAAACAAAAAACTGACTAAAATGAGCAGACAACTGACCCTCTGAGACAGCAGGGTTGTCAATGCAGTGAAAGACTGATTTCAACCTGAACTTCTGGCACCCGAGGCAAAAACAAACCACAATAAAACTGCATTACGTCATCTTTGTTGTTAGAGAAAAGGAATAATACAGATGAAATATCAGATAAAAGGAAGTTTGTTGGCTCAGATAAACTGGAATTTTAGTAAGGATTTAACATATAGCCCTTTTTCAAAAAGAACTTAAAGAGGATAGCTTTGAGATTCATTTGTGCAGATGATACACAATTACTTTTCAAATGTATGTTAAAGCTATTTATTGAGTCCAGAGGTTATTTATTGAGCACCAACTGTATATCAGATATTAGAAATATAGATTTGGGAAGTCACGTGAGTAGGTGGGATTGAAGCCCTTAAGTGTCTTTGGCTTATCCATGAGAATAAACAGTGAGGAGAGGAAGACTGGGGGCAGAGCCAGGGATCTGGTTTGTTTGTTCGTTTGTTTTTGAGACTGAATCTCACTATGTTGCCCAGGCTGGAGTGCAGTGGTATAATCTGGGCTCACTGCAACCTCTGCCTCCCAGGTTCAAGCAATTCTCTTGCCTCAGCCTCCTGAGTAGCTAGGATTACAGGCATTTTAGTAGAGATGGGGTTTCACCATGTTGGCCAGGCTGGTCTCGAACTACCAATCTCAAGTGATCCACCTGTCGGCCTCCCAATGTGCTGACATTACAGGCATGAGCCAACGTGCTCGGTTGGGATCTTGGTTTTTAATCCCATCCCCACAGCTGAGGGCATTTATCCTGAACCACCAGGAATTCGAAAGTAGAGCTTATCTTTTAAAACAGTGGTCCCCAAACTTTTTGGCCCCAGGAACCAGTTTCACGTAAGACAAGTTTTCCACGGACTGGATTATGAAGGGGGATGGTTTCAGGATGATCCAAGTGCGTTACATTTATTGTCCACTTTATTTTTATTATTATTATATTGTAATGTATGATGAAATAATTATAAAACTTACCACAATGTAGAATCAGTGGGAGCCCTGAGCTTGTTTTCCTACAACTGGACAGTCCCATCTGGGGGTGATGGGAGACAGTGACAGATCATCAGGCATTAGATTCTCACTAGGAGTGCACAATCTAGATCCCTTGCATGCACAGTTCACAACAGGGTTTGAGCTCCTATGAGAATCTAATGCTGCCGCTGATCTGACAGAAGACGGCGGTAATGTGAATGACAGGGAGCAGCTATAAACACAGATGAAACTTTGCTCTCTTGCCTGCGGCTCACCTCCTGCGTGCAGCCTGCTTCCTAACAGGTTACAGACCAGTGCTAATCTGTGGCCTGGGATTTGGGGACCCCTGTTTTAAAAAACACTAATCTTTTCAAAGAGCTGTATGGGAAGAGGGCTCAGGAAAATCCTAGCACATGGAAACACTTTTAAAAGGGTAGTTACCATGATATTTCTGTGAAGCCCTGGGCTGCAAGTCAACAGTGCTCCTTACTTTGGTAATGACCTTCCATGTGATGCTGGGTGAGTATTCCTGGGACTCTGTTTTCTCTTCTCTAAATTGTCTAGCCAAAGTCATCTTTTGTACATAGAAGACAGAGTAGGTTGGTGTGGCTTAAGGGTATGATTTAAATGTTTTTCCTCCAAGAAAATACCTTTGGCTTTATGCTTTATTCCCTGTTAATATACAAATACCAGCTGGGCACTGTGGCTCATGCCTGTAATCCCAACACTTCAGAAGGCCAAGGCAGGAGGATTGCTTCAGCCCAGGAGTGGGACCAGCCTGGGCAACATGGCAGAACCTCATCTCTACAAAAAAAAAAAAAAAATAGCGAGGCATGTGCCTGTAGTCGCACCTACTAGAGAGGCTGAGGCAGGAGGATTGCCTGAGCCTAGGAGGTCAAGGCTGCAGTGATCCATGATTGTGCCACTGCACTTAAGACTGGATAACAGTGAGACTCTATCTCAAAATAATAATAATAATTAAAATAATATGCAAATACCTCTGGGATGTAAAAAAATCAAGCTTAATTGGTTTTTAAGAATAATAACCCTATGTTTACAAAGGACTTGGCATTCCCTAAAGCACTTTCAGGCTCCTTACTATATTTTAACTTTGCAACAATCCTGTGAGGTGGTAGATAGAGCTCATGGGATTCATCTTACAATTCCCATTACACAGATGAGAAAATAAAAACTCACCCAGAAGTGGTGTTATATGTGTTCAATGTCATACGGCTGGTCACAGGCTGAGGCTGATCTGGTCTTCTGATTCCAAGTCCTGATAGCTTCCTGCTCTCCAACCTCAGGGCATGAAAGGAATAGAGAGCCCCCAAAAAACCTTCACCTCCTTACTTCCCAGGTTTGCCTGCTGTATTCGGGGGAAAGGAAGCAGCAGATCCAAAAGGACTGTAAGGCCTTGGGTTAGAAATGATTAGGCAGAAAGATCCTGAAGGAGATGGACAGTGGGGGAAAGGAAGGAATGTAGCTTTCAGAAACCACACACCTTATTGGTGGGAAACTGCCAGAACGACTTTAAAAATAGAGTTTGAAAAGAGCTTACTGATTAGGGTTAGATGCCTCCCTGTGTCACAAGAAGTTACCCCAGATGGACTTGCTCAACAGGAAGACAGTGCCCTGGATCCCTCTCTCAGGCTGGGTATATCTTTCACTAAAAAGGAGTAAATTGTGGCTTTGTTTGTAAGGAAGAAATCCTTTGGTTTTTACCTATGGTGGTGTGTCTCTAATGCAGGGTGTCCATGTTCACACTAGTCCTGCTATCTTAGCAAGTTGATGTCTAGCCTTGGTGTTTTAGAAGTTCCAGGAAGCCATTGAAAAGCAAAGGAAACCCGGGCATGATCACCTTATGGGAAAGCATTCTCTTAGCACATCTGCTATTTTCTTTACATGCTGCTTTCTCTGCTTGGTGTATAAGATGGGGTACAGAACAATGTACTTTAAATATCTTTAGCAGGGTAATCATTTTCAAAACAATAGAAGAGAACTACATTAAATAATACTGATAAAAGCAAAAGCACCTAGAAATTAACATTCATGTTTACATATTAGTTTCTTACAAAATTAATTCCATAGAACTCTCTGGGAAAATTACAATTTCAAGCTACAGTGGATCTAAGTTTATCTAAATATTTTAGCTAGAGCATTAATGAATATATTGTGTGTCATATTGATGTCAGACCATTCACTTCATCTGGGTTTACTCAACTGAGGATAATAGAAGAAGCAACTGTGAAACGTGTAACTTCTAGTTTAAAGACCAGGTTTGGATGACGAGAGACAAGAGCATAGGAGGTGCCCTGATTTTCAGAGGTCTTTGGAAATGAATGTTGTATTTTGACCAAATGCTGACTTTCCAGATAATCTTCCTGAACACTGGACTGACATGAATCATCAGCTGTTTCGCGTGGTCCAGCTAGACCCAGGACAACCAGAATATAATACCATAAAGGACAAGTTCACCCAAACTTGTTCTTCCTACACAATAGAGAAGGTAATACTGTGTTAAAATTTACTGTTTAAAAATGTTGATGAATTAACATAAAAGCTATCTCTTTTTAAATGACACCTTTCCTTCCTTTGTACCTTACTATGTTTATTTTAACTGGAATTAGACTTACTCAAGCTCCACAGAGTTCAAATCTCACGGTTTACTCATTAGCAGTAATGAAGGAGATTCCAAGTCACATGTGTATGTTAGGATGCTTTCAGCTGCAAGTCACAAACCAACTCACTCAAACTGATTAAACAAGGAGAACTGTGTCGGAAATTAATGGAAAGTCCCGAAGTAGGATGGGCTTTGGAGAAGTCTGATCCAGCGGCTTGATGGTGTCCTGGATCCAGTTGCTCCAGCTTTGCTGTCCTCAGTGTCAGCTTTGTGTTAAGGCTGGACTCTCTTTGTGGTTGTTGGGTGGCTGCTGGCAGCAATTAGAGGATCTCTGCTTTCTCATTCACAACCCATAGAAGACAACTCTGTCCTGTCCTTTCCTGCAGTTACTGGACAAGAATCCCAACCACTGCAACTATCTCCATGTCTAGGGAATACCCTGTTCTGGTTGGCTTGGGCCTGAGCTATCAAATGCCATCAATGTGTGATCCATATTGAAATCCTGATTAGTTTAACTCAATTAGACGCCATCCTAGAACTATAAGTAGGGCCAATCCCACTCAAACCAGAAGTTGCTGATGAGGTAGAATGTATGTTTAGAAGATTACCACAATGTCCACTATGCTGCGTAAAAACATTAGTCAGTAAACTATAGGAGGTCATTATCATACCATGTGTATCAGAACAGGGTGTGGCATCCTAGTAATTTAAAATCTTGTTGGCGCTTCCATAGAACTGTGTACTTACCTCTTGGAGCACTTATAAAGTGGTACTTTGTATCTATGCACTTACATTACAGCACTTATAAGGTACTTTGATAACTTTCACATGCCTGGCTCCCTGACTAGACAGTGAGCTGCTTAAGGTAGGAGTTGCATCTTGTTCATTTCTTCATTCTCAGTACCTAGGAAGCTGTCTAGCACATAGTAGGACACAATATGTATTGAGTAAACTTGATTGAATGAATGAGCTTAATTCCTGAGAAAGGGGAACCAGGAGATAGAGACATCCTACAGAAAGGACAGAATTTAAAGGAGGAGATGCCTCGTCGTGTTAAAAGCTGTTGGAAGTATAGTCCTAGACCTCTGAATCCATGGGTTCTGCATCCATGATTTCAACCAACCTCGGATGGAAAGTGTGGTGAGGCCTATGATGGTTGAGTGTACGGAATGTGTACAGACTTTTTCTTTTTTTTTTTCCAGACTTTTTCTTCTTGTCATTATTCCCTAAGCAATGTAACAACTATTTACATAGCATTTGTTAATACATTGTATGAAGCAATATAAGAAATCTAGAGATGACTAAAAGTATATGGAAGGATTGTGTAGATTATATATTAATACAAATACAGTACTATGTCATTTTATATCAGGGACTTGAGCATCCTCAGATTTTGGTATCTGCAGCGGTCCTGGAACCAATCCTTCATGGAGATTGAAGGATGACTGTACAAGATGTGCAAGAACCTCATTTCAATTGTGTTTACTCAGTATCTGCAACTTTCTTGGCTCATACTTCTTTTGAAAACCCCCAACTTTGGATTAATTCCATAACCTACCTTCTCTCCTGCTGCTCCTAGATGAAATCCTTACTAATTCATGATCCCCAGCCTCAGCTGGACCCTCCAGGCTGCCTGGAATCCTTCATGGCTTCCTCCAGTCACCCCCTCACACATTCCCCATTGCAAACCTTCATTTCTCTCCCGGAGGCCTCCGCTACTTTCAGCAGAACATCTTTCCTACCTTTTATGGCTTGGATTCTCCTCAACAGCTGCCCAGGTACCCACTCCATTCTTCTTGAACCTCTCTTCTTCCTCTGTTTCCAGAACATCATCCTTTCAGATTTCCTCCTCCTTTCCCAGACACCGGTTATCTGGAGCCCGTTCTTATAACTTCATAGCTCCAGGTGTGTTCTCCTGACCATCCCTTATCACTCTGTGGGGTAGTGGTTAGTTTTCTTGCCTTGCCCCTGCCCCTGTGCCATTAGACTGACTGTTTCATGAAGGCAGAGATCCAACACAAGCTTGATTCATAGAGATGTTCAGTAGGTGATGGCTGAATGGATGTTAATTCCGTTTCCTAGGAGGAAGGAGAGCCAGTAGAGAGTGATATTTTGAAAAGAAGTGAAAGAAGAACAGAGTTTTAAGGAGGGGATGGTTCATGGTTTGAAATGCTATTCAGAGGTCTAGAAAAAAATAGTCATAAGATTAGGCAATTATAAGGTGATTTGTGACCATAATTGGAGCATTAACAGAAAGAACTGTTATGAGGAGAAGCCACATGGAATGAGTTGGAAGATGAGAAGGAGTTAAGGACATGGCTATTGAATAACTACACATTTTTGAGTAGGTGTTTGAATGTCAGTGAATCTCCAGGAATTCCAGGGAATATATATTGGTAATCATTTTGATATAAACTATAAATTATGTTATTTAAAATATATACTAACAAGCACTATTACAAAGCATAGATACTAATAGATACTTTTAGCCCATCTTTCTCTAAAGGCAGAAAACTGCCTACTCTCTGAATGTGCTGTCTACTTGTATTCTCTTCTCCTTTTCCTTCACCAACTCCTCTTTCTCTTCCTTCTTTTTCATATTGCTTGTTTTAAATCCACAACAAGTGCAATACACTGAGCCCCAAGGTCATTTCTGAAATATTTTGTCTTTTGTCACTTGCAGATTGAGAGGATACAGAATGCATTTCTCTGGCAGAGCTACCAGGTAAAGAAAAGGCAAATGGATATCAAGAATGACGATACGAATAATGAGAGACTCCTCTTCCATGGGACAGATGCAGACTCAGTGACATATGTCAATCAGCATGGCTTTAATCGAAGTTATGCTGGGAAGAATGGTAAGAAAGCGAGTAATCTGGCTGATCAGAACGAGGCAAACGATAGTTTCAGACTTTTCATACCCAAGCAGTGTGGAACCATGGTTGGCAGCCATATTATCACTGTCAGAATAGAGCTCGCTGTGTTTCACTATAAAGGAGACTGGCAACCTTCTGAGGGAAGATTGAGCAAATTTTAGAAATGAAGAAAAGTAACTTTAATGTGCAGGTTTTTTTGGGGGGGAGGCTTTTTTTTCTTTTTAGACAGTCTCATTCTGTCACCCAAACTGGAGTGCAGTGGCAAGATCATGGCTCACTGCAGCCTTGATCTCTTGAGCTCAAATGATGCCCCCACCTCAGTCCCCTGAGTAGCTGGGATTACAGGCATACACCACTATGCCTGGCTAATAATTTTGTTTTATTTTTGTAGAGAAGGGATCTCATAATGTTAGCCAGGCTGGTCTCGAACTCCTGGCCTTAAGCAATCCTCCTGTCTCAGCCTCCTAAAGTGTTGGGATTACAGGCATGAGCCAACACACCTGGCTAGAACTGCATTTAGAAAACAATTTGTTGTCAGATTGGGCATGGTTCTACATATTGTGTAATTTTATACTCTTAGGAAGGTTTTTGTCTTTCTCTTTCCAGCTGTATTCTATGGAAAAGGAACCTATTTTGCTGTGGATGCCAGTTATTCTGCCAACGACACCTACTCCAAGCCGGACAGCAATGGGAGAAAGCACATGTACGTTGTGCGAGTACTTACTGGAGTCTTCACAAAGGGACATGCAGGATTAGTTACCCCTCCACCCAAGAATCCTCACAATCCCACAGATCTCTTTGACTCGGTGACAGACAATACACAATCTCCAAAGCTATTTGTGATATTCTTTGATAATCAGGCTTACCCAGAATATCTCATAACTTTCAGGCGTTAAAAATATTTTTATCATCAAAGAGATTATTTAAATCATCTGTGAGAACAACATGCAATCTTCGTCTTTGCTTTTGGCCTGTTTAAGCAGACAAAAGTTTCCCTTTCAGGTGCTAAAATGCTGAAAATTACCTTTTTAAAATGCTCTATTGCTGCAATTTGTAGCATACCTTTTTTTCTCAGCAAATTGATGGGTGGAAGCTAAGAAATGTATGGTAAATGTCACAGTTAGAGCTACAGCTATTCACAGACACCAAATCTGTAGGAGAATAAAAAGCACATTATTCTTTTTCCATCAGAAAAAAAAAAACAAGATACATCACCTTAAAGCCCAGATGACACTGTTCTACTTGGAACATATTAAGACATCGAATGGTGGCGGGTTAAACTGTACTACTTAAGTGGAGAGGCTACTGTTATGCATCTGTAACAGCTGGGGATTTTGCCTTATTAAGAAAAACCTGTCGATAGTTCAGCTGAAATGACTGGATCACAGAATATTAACTCTGTTATGGAACAAATCATAACAGATTTTACCCGTTTACATTTCAGGTAAAAATGTGTAAAAATATTATCCCCAATTTTAGTGACTTAATCCCACACAGTCTTTGTTGGTGCGGAGTTCAGGTATGGCCTACCTGGTCATTCTGCTAGGGTCTCTCTGAAGTTACAGACAAGATGTCAGGGGATGTGGTCGTTTGAAGTCTTGTCTGGGCTGGAGGTCTATTTCCAAGGTGAATCACAGGTATTGGCAGTCCTCAGTTCCTCTCCTCACGGGCCTCTCCACAGGCTGCTTGAGTGTCCTCATGACACAAGAGCTGGCTTACTCCAGAGTAAGCAACTCAAGAGAGAGCAAGGCAGAAGCTACCAAGTCTTTATGATTGAAGTCATACACCATCTTTTCCGCAATATCCTATTGATTATTTGGATCATCTTGTTCAACCTGGGAGGGAATTGCACAAGAACATGAATACACATTGGCAAGGATCACTGGGGGCCAGCTTGGAAGCTGTGTGAATGAGCAAATGAATGCACAGATAGAACGTTAGCAGCCAAAATGATGCTAGAGGTCACCTACCCCACTGTCCTCTTGTCTTTCTCCCCCAACCCTCCCCTGCTCCCAGGCAAGAAGCCCTCTAGCCTCTGCTTGATCACTTTCAGCACTCAACATCTTGAGGGAACCTATTCCACTGTGGGACAGTGTTAATTAGTGGAAAACTCTTTTTTTCAAAAGTTGAAATCAGTTCCTCTATGTCTATTACCTGCTGATCACTGTCCAGACTTCTGGAGGACACAGGACAAGTTTTATTCCTCTTACCGATGGTAGCCTTTCAGATCCATCCCTTCCCTCCAGTATATTAGAGTGATGTAAATTCTTAAAATGCCTAGCAGTTTATTTATCCTGAAGCATCACTTTTGAAAAGTTAGACATTTAAGAAGTATTTACATTATCATAAATAAATTACATGTGCATTTAAAGAGGACAGAGGAGTATAAAGAAAAATATCTCACCAAACTCATTCATAATTCCAGCACTAAGGGAAAACCACTGCCAATTTCTCATGTTCTCCCTTCCAGTTTCTTCTCTAGTCCAAATTCAACAAAGTCAAAATCACATTTTGTTCAGTCACGAATCATATGATATTGTTTCTACCATTTTTCATTTAACATTACAAGTTGTTTTCCTGTGTTGTTATTTTTTCTGTACACATAATTTTAATGGCAGAGTTATTCTGCTTTATATCTTTTCCCTATTTTTATGTATATAGAATTATAAAATTTTTAAAAATGTAATCATCATTTATAGTTTAATAATCAGTTTTATTTTGCAGTGTATCATTTTCCTCATGTCATTAAATATTTTACATATTATTTTTAATGGTTGCATAGTATTTCATTGCCTGTTTCTACCTACATGTCGTGTCAAAATAAGGTACCTATATTTCTTGATAAATATGAGGTTAGAATATGAGATGCAAAGATCCTAATCTACCTTCAACAAGACAGTCAAAATGCTCTGTTGCTGCAATTTGTAACATACCTGAAGGAAATATAGTCCCAGAGAACAAAGTAAGGTTAAGTAATGCAATTACTGCCTGGGACTTGTCTCTCAATACCATTGCAGAATTCTCGTGAGCCATGTTAGAACAAGAAAGGACTCCTAGCCTGGGCAAATAGGGAGACCCTATCTCTACAAAAATACAAAAAAAAATTAGCCCAGCATGGTGGCACATGCCTGTGGTCCCAGCTACTCAGGAGGCTGAGGTGGGAGGATTGCTTGGACCCAGGAGGTCAAGGCTGCAGTGAGCTATAATCCTGCCACTGCACTCCAGCCTGGGTCACAGAGCAAAACCCTATCTCAAAAAAAAAAACAAAAAACAAAAAAACCCTTTTACTTAGGTTAGGTGGACTCTTATTTACAATGTCCACTGCTGACTTGTTGCCTCCTCCAATATTGTTACTCAGGGATGTTGTTCCCCAGTTTATTTTGCTGTACCCTTATGTCAGCAGTAAGACACAGAAGTCTGGAGTACAGTATACCCATGTTATTAAAGTTGTGACGCTTTCTTGAAGAACAATGAACTAATCAATAATTATAGTTGTTTAGAAATTCTACCTTCCGTCAGTCTAAAGCTAAATTGTATCTTTCCATCCTTTAAGTCCATCTCCTTCCCACTTGGCTTGATTTTTCCTCTCTATATGACTAGAATGGTCTCTACTTCTATCCTAAGAACTAACTGTTATCTAGCTTAGTATCAAAATTAGAAGTCTTGTCAAACTGCTAATTACTGAAGAAATCCATCTCTGTTCTCTGTATCTTCAGAGTTCAGGTAAATGGTACCTGATCGATCCAAGACCAGAGACCGTGAGCTCTAATTCCGGACTGGCAGCCTTCTTTCACAGAAGCCTTTATGGTCTCAAATATCTTCTCTTATTGCTTTTCTTACCATTCTTCTCCTTCTTGTTCCTTTTTTTTTTTTTTTTAATTCTTTCTCTCACTTGTGGAAAAAAAGGACACATACTCTGCTTGGATGAATCAGGAAATATTTTCATTTTTTTCTGCACCAATATTAGATAGCCACTCAAATTCCACATAGTATATATGGTAATGTATTAATTGAACACAAGGTTTACAAATTCATTTACAGTGTGGCGGGTTATCACAGGACTGGTGAGATCTTTCATACCTAGTATGATCAAATTCAATTTCTTCTGAGTACTTGACTAGAACAAATACAGTTTCTTTTAGTAAACAAGCTTTATAGTAAATATGTTTTACAAGCTTAATTGATTAAATTATTCCATATCCTAGCTTTGGTCTTCACCACATTAGTAAACATAGGAAGGGAATCTTACAACTAAATTCAGAGTATGAATAACTTAAAAGACCTTTGGCCCATTTCTCTTTGTTTACACTATTTTTGTGGTAACTAGGATATAAATATTCTCAATCTTCTTTTCTTTATTTCACTGAGAAGGGCATTTTCTACACAGTATTTAATTCCCCTAAGTCTCTTGTTCCTAAAATTATCACTCTATAACTAAGACCTATCAGAGGAGTGATTGTGGCTTCCACAAAATCCAACCACCTCTTCAATCTGAGCCTTTCTTTTCATGTGCTTAATGTATTCTTGTCTCTTCACTCCTAGACCGCTCAACTCTCAACACCTTTTTCACATTCAATTTACTCAATTAGTACAATGCAAGATCAACCCTCCACCTAAACAGAAAAAAAATAATGAAAATGCTTCTCTTTAGGTCTTTGTAGTTTATGGTGCTAGATGGAGCTCTTTTTTTCATATTAACTCCACTAAAATTCCAATTAAAGTGCCCAAGATAAGGGAAGTACCAATACAAAAAGAACAACATAAAATTAACAAATCTGGGATCAACAACAAAAATAAATTCAGTGTAAATACGGGATGGGGGGATAAAAACAAGAACCCAGAAAGTAAAAGTAGGAGTATTGGAATCTAGAACATATAATGATAAACATCATAGAGCAATAACTCACTTCTATTGTTTTTTGTTTTGTTTTTTGTTTTGAGATGGAGTCTCACTCTGTTGCCCAAGCTGGAGTGCAATGGTGCCATCTTGGCTCACTGCAACCTCCACCTCCCGGGTTCTAGTGATCCTCTTGCCTCAGCCTCCCAAGTAGCTGGGATTACAGGTGTTCACCACCACGCCTGGCTAATTTTTTTATTTTTAGCAGACTCAGGGTTTCACCATGGTGGCCAGTCTGGTCTTGAACTCCTGACCTCAGGTGATCTGCCCGCCTCAGCCTCTCAAAGTGCTGGGATTGCAGGTGTGAGCCACCACATCTGGCCAAATGTTCTATTGTTAACAGAAGTTTGTTTGCTCTTTTTTTTTTTTTTTTTTTTTTGAGACAAAGTCTCTGTTGCCCAGGCTGTAGTATAGCGGTATGATCTTGGCTCACTGCAACCTCTGTCTCCCAAGTTCAAGTGATTTTTGTGCCTCAGCCTTCCAACTAGCTGGGACTACAGGCATGTGCCACCACACCTGGCTAATTTTTATATTATTAGTAGAGACGGGGTTTTGCCACATTTTTCAGGCTGGTCTCGAACTCCTGATCTCAGGTGATCTGCCCGCCTTGGCCTCCCAAAGTGCTGGGATTACAGGCTTGAGCCACTGTGCCAGGCCTTGTTTTTTTCTTTTGAAACAGGGTCTCACTTTGTCACCCACACCAGAGTGCAGTGGTGCACTCATGGCTTACTGCAGCCTTGATTTCACAGGCTCAAGTGATCCTCCCATCTTAGCCTTAAGCAATCCTCCCATCTCAGCCTCCCAAGTAGCTAGGATCACAGGCACGTGCCACCACACTGGAATAATTTTTTTTTTCAGTAGAGAAAAGATCTTGCTATGTTGCCCAGAGTAGTGTCAAACTCCTTGGCTCCAGTGATCCTTCCACTTGGCCTCCCAAAGTGCTGGGATTACAGACATGAGCCACCGCACCCAGCCAACAGAGCATTTTAATATATACAGTATCTCACTTGTCTCTGTAGCAGTCCTCTGAGGAAGGGCCCCTTTGATGGAGGATGCTGATCCTCAAAGGGATCAGCTGAACATGCCTCTCTCATTCAGCTAGTAAGTGGCAGTGCTGGGACTGGGTGTCAAATCTCTGAGAAAGATCAGAGTTGTTGATAGACTCCACATTGCATGAATGAAAGCAGAAAACAGTATACTGACTTAAAAAATGGTAAACCAACAAATAAAATGAAAAATGGCTGGGCACAGTGGCTCACGCCTGTAATGCCAGCACTTTGGGAGGCTGAGGCGGGTGGATCACAAGGTCAGGAGTTTGAGACCAGCCTGGCCAACATGGTAAAACCCTGTCTCTCCTAAAAGTACAAAAACTAGCCAGGAATGGTGGTGCGTGCCTATAATCCCAGCTACTCGTGAGTCTGAGGCAGGAGAATTACTTGAACCTGGGAAGCAGAGGCTGCAGTGAGCTGAGATTGCGCCACTGCACTCCAGCCTGGGCGACAGAGCAATACTCCGTCTCAAAAAAAAAAGAAAAAAAAATCACAACAAAAAACTGAAAAATGAAAGAGCACTAAATAGTCCTATCACAAGAAGTCAAGAAGGCTTAATTAACTCAGAAAACAGGGTATGCAAATTCAAAGTCCTAATCAAAGGGGTTTCTGAGTAAACACAACCAAAAGGCAGCTTGAAAAACCACAAGTCAAGAATATGCAAGAAAATTTCCTGGAATTGAAAAAAGAATATAGCTTTGGGGGAAAAAGGACACTTCATTCAATTAAGGGAGATTACATAATAATCACATGCATTAGAATAACTTTCATCTTGTTACCTTAGATTATTCACCAGGAGCCCCCAAGTTTTAAAATATACTTAAAAATAATTTATTTTTTCTTCAAGACGGTCTCAATCTGTTGCCCAGGCTGGTGTGCAAGTGGTATGATCACAATCTCGGCTTACTGCAACCTCCAACTCTTGGGTTCAAGCAATTCTCCTGTTTCAGCCTCCTGAGTAGCTGGGATTACAGGCACTGGCTAATTTTTGTATTTTTAGTAGAGACAGGGACCAGGCTGGTCTCAAACTCCTGACTGCAAGTGATCCACCTGCCTTGGCCTCCTAAAGTGCTGGGATTACAGGCATGAGTCACTGTGCCTGGCCTAAAGTAAGTTTTGTTTGTTTCTTTGTTGGTTTGTTTTTTGAGACGGAGTCTCACTCTGTCACCCAGGCTGGAGTGCAGAGGTGCTATCTCTGCTCACTGCAACCTTGCCTCCTGGGTTCAAGGGATTCTCCTTCCTCCTAGCTGGGATTACATGGTCCCACCACCACACCCAGCAAATTTTTTTATTTTTATTTTTAGTAGAAATAGGGTTTCACCATGTTGGCCAGGCTGGTCTTGAACTCCTGACCTCAAGTGATCCGCCTGCCTCGGCCTCCTAAAGTGCTGGGATTACAGGCGTGAGCCACTGAGCCCTGCCAGCAAGCTTTTAACTAAAGTTAAGTGATGTATGCTTTAGCTGCAAACTAAATGGTTTCCTTGTGTGTCTACCTGCAAAGGAAAAGTACTCCAGGGTGAGTCAAGGGAGAATGCTTTTCTCAGGGATATCTCTTAGTAATTGAGACAAGATACTCAGGCATGTGTTTCTGTTGGATTGACCCTTTTTACTCTCTTTTCCCAGTTCTTTTTTCTCCCTCTCTCATACAAGGGAAGTGGGGCAGTAAGAAGGAACTGGAGATGGGAAGAGCATGGAGCTGGCTCTTCCCCGGAGAAGCCTTCTCACTTTGAAAGGCTCATG